AAAAAAAAAAAAAAAAAGAGCCGAACACTTCTGTTTCACAGAGGCAAAAGCATAGGGACGGTAAGTTGTCCCTCGGTAGCATTGCTCAGGACCAGTGTGAAGGAGCCTCAGTGCGGGCCCTCCTCATGCATTCGGACTGCCGTTTCAGGTTCACTGCCGTGGCTCCCTCCAGCCCTGCCATCGGCTCCCAGGCTGCACCTGCGACGCTGTCGTTCCCCTCTGCCTCCAAGCCGGCTGCTTCCGGACCTCTCAGCCACCCCACTCCCCTCTCGGCATCCAGCTCTGTGTCGTCAAAGTCCTCGGTCTCTCCCTCGGCATCAGGTATGATTTTAAGGAAATCAGCCCTGAATTCTTACATTTGCCTGTTTCACTTGTTAGGAATCCTAGCTCACGTAGTCAGACCGGATTATTTTTTCTTGCTTCCTGTATCTCACGCTAATGTGCTGTGACGCCCGTACTCTGGGGAGGTTTGCAGTGGCCTCGACGCTGCCACCCTCGGCCCTCTGACATTTCTCATGGAGCCAAGTGTACTTGGCGATTCAGATGCGGCGTCTCGTTGCGTGGCATCTGTCCTGCCGTGCAGCCTGCCCGACGCAAAGGGCAGTTACGGAACAATTCGTGGAGTTGGCGTGAAGGAGGAAAAGCCTGTGGTGGCTGTGAAGCTTATCGCCCCTGATGACTGTCTTTGGGTTTTCATACCCATCCCTACTGTAAGCACATTTACTGAGCACAGGTTGTAAGTGGTGATAGTTACCATAACCAAGTTGAATCCAAGTGCGTGGTAAAACTCCATGAACAGACGTGCCTGGCCTTTCTTTTTTTCTTTCATCCTGCAGAAAGGTTGCATAAATTGTGTAATGAAAACTGGGCCCTTCGCCAAGGCAACGCTTGGTAACATTTTGCACCGTTTGCTTTGTGTCTTTATTTTTTAACATGTATTTTTTTCCTAAGACGTTGGAGAGTTCTTCGCAGGCCCTTCACCCCTAAACACATTAAGCGTGTATCTCTCAAATACAAGGGTACCTGGTACATTAGCGCACTCAGGAAATTGAATAATCTGATCGGTAGCCCACATTGACCTTTCTGTGGTTGTCCCAATAGTGTTCTTTAGGGCTTTTTTCTCTCCAGTCAAGGAACACGTATTCTGTTTTAGTTTTTTCTCTTTAGTGTTAGTGTCACACGTTTCTTTGTCCTGTTCCTCTTCCTTAGCACTGATGTTCGTGAAGAGGTCAGGCCAGTAGTTAGGGAGCTGGCCCTCAATTTGGACCTGATTGTTTCCATAGGACGAGATTCCAATTCAACATTTGGGGTGGTAATACCACATAGGTGATGTGTATTGCATTGCACGATCTCATTTTGTCCTGACATGAGTAATGTTTCCTTGCTTATGTGGTTAGGATGGTGTTTGCCAGGTGTGAGTTATTTTCACCAATGCCAGAGATAATACCTAGCCAGACGTGTTTGGGTAGCCATTTGGTGTTTGAGTGTCAGGAATAATGTTATCTTGGTAACATCCTGAGCAGGCATTGAGCCGTGAATTCGTGAAATCCTCTCCCTTACCTATTGCTCAGGAGAGAAGGCTGCTTTATGGAGTTTACCAGAATCCCCTCATTCCAGGACTTTCCCTCAAATTCTGAAAGACAGACCTAGAAAGTGCAGGAGACTTGCCTTAGTCTTTTCACATCTGTTTTCAGTGTAGGAGAGAAGATTTGAACCATGATGAGCGTCCACAGTCTCCTTTTGCACTGCTCACCACCCACATCTCGCTGCCCTTCCATTGCCATTATTTTATTTTATTTTATTTTATCTTATTTTATTTTATTTTATATTTATTTTTTAAATTTTATTTATTTTTAAATTAAGTTTAATTTTAATTTTACTTTATTTATTTTTAAGTAGGCTCCACACCCAATGTGGGGTTTGAACTCACCACCCCAATATCAAGAGTCACATGCTCCACCCGATGGAGGCAGCCAGGTGCCCCCTGCCATTATTTAGTTCTTTAAGTTTGGAGGGTCCTAGGTTGTCGGATCGCAACCTCAGTAGCATGCTGGACTCACTGGGGGATCTCTTCCCTGACAGTTCAATCAGGCTCTCTGGAGGTGAGGTTTAGGTGTGAGTTTTTGGTGTGTTTATTTTTTAAATGCTCCCTAGGGGAGTCTAAAGTGAAGCAGAGGAAGGCTTGTTCTAGAAGCTTCCAGGAGCTTCCTCGAGGGTCCTGAAGACCCTATGAGCTCTTATAAGGTGATGGGATTATTTAAACTTTGTTCCTCATTCTCAGAGGTGCAGCAGGTGCCTCTGGGGAGTAAGGATGGGCCAAATGGCCAGCCTCCTGGGCCTGCACAAAAATGCACATGCCTACTTTCAGAGACATTCCAGTTTTATCTGCTTTATAAAAGAGTTTCGTGTCTGAAAATGTAATACGTGTTTTTTAGTTATCTTGGAACAGGCTAATAAAAACTGTGGACATCATTCTTAGTAACAGAAATCATAGGAGGGCCAGGGGCACTGGGAAGCTTTTTTTTTTTTTTTTTTTTTTTTTTTTTTTTTTTTTTTTTTTTTTTTGATTTGAGTGAAGGACACATACGCTGAGAGAAAGAATGGGAAGAAATGCTGTTTTCACGGCCTTCTTATTCCAGCAGGGCGATCTGCTCAGGGCAGCCCGGGCCCAGCGTCCTCAATGGTACAGAAGTCACCCAGGATAACCCCTCCAGTGGCAAAGTCAGGCTCTCCCCAGGTATGTTGAAACTCAACTTACAATGCCGTGTTTGTTCATGCGAACAGTCGTATGTATTTATTATAAAATGGGTGTTCGTGTTTTAGAATCCATATCTTTGAAATAGTACTCGGGACTACGTGACAGGAAATACTAGAACATGAGCCTTGAACGTTTGTAATGTGTGTGCATAAAAGCCATTTATCTCAGCCCCAGAGCCTTAACATTGTCTGCTCTTCTGGTTCCTGAGCTTGTCCCTGCTGTGCTGGTCATTTTGTTGTATTCTCCTTATGTCTGAAAGGACTGTAGCACCTGATTTTTTTCTTTTTCTTTTCTTTTTTTTTTTTTTTCTCATTTCCAAAGTAACCGACTAATCTATCCGGGGTCCTCTGTTTCTGTGCCTTTCCATAAGATTTTGGTTTATTTTACTTTTTTATTAACACATAATACACATGGGGGAAAAATACCCGTACACCAGCTGAGTTAACCTTGGCAACCAACCCCTGGATGAAGAGATGGAACATTACCAGAATGCCAGAATTCTCCCTCATGTATGCCCTTCTACTCATTCTCCTGGCCCAAGGGAGCTCCCTGCTATGACTTCTAACAGCATAGCTTAGTTTGGCCTGTTCATACCTTTTCTGAAATGGGTTCACACGGTATTCTTTCTTTTCTTTTCTTTTCTTTCTTTCTTTCTTTCTTTCTTTCTTTCTTTCTTTCTTTCTTTCTTTCTTTCTTTCAACACAGCATGTATTCTTGTGTTTGGCTCAACATAATGTTGAGTTGGTTTTACAAACATAATGTTTGTGAAATCGATCCATATTGTTGTGACTATATGGAATTCATCGGGTGGCTATGCTACAAGTCTTTATTCTACCCTTGACACATCTGAAGAGCTTCTGGGTTTAAATCATTGCGAATAGCGTTGCTGTGACCATGGTAGTTGATGTCTTTGGGTGAACATACGTATGCATTTCTGTTGGGCATACACCTAGGAATGGAATTGCTGGGCCATAGAATATACATAGATTTCTCTTTAGTAAATTCCCACCGCGAGTATATAGCGGTTCAGCTGGTCCATATCCTCACTAGTCTTTGTATTTTTCATTTTTTTATTGTTGTCCTTTATGATTTTAATTAATATTTTCCTGATGACCGCTAAAATTGAGCCTTTTTTCCATATGGTTTTGGCCAGTTGAATATCTTCTTTTATGGGGTGTATGTCTTAGTGATTCGTAAGAGTTCCTTGTCAGGTACACACGCACATACACGCACACATAATGCAGATACTTTCTCACTCTCAATTGTCTTCATTCTATTTGTGGTTTCTTTTGATGACTTAATATAGTTCTTGGTACAGTTCAGTATATCAACTTTTGTTTTATGACGAGTGCTCTTTGTGTTCTATTTTAAAAATCATTTCTGGTTCCAGGGTCCAAAAGCTTCTTTCCTATGTTGTTGTTGCTTTTTAAAAAAAATTTTTTTAACGTTTATTTTTGAGAGAAAGAGACAGACTGTAAGCAGGGGAGGGGCAGAGAGAGGGAGACACAGAATCGGAAGCAGGCTCCGGGCTCCAGTCTGTCGGCACAGAGCCCGACGCGGGGCTCAGAGTCACGAGCGGTGAGATCATGACCTAAGCTGAAGTTGGACGCTCAACCGACTGAGCCACCCAGGCGCCCCATGCTTTCCTATGTTTTCCTAAAAGCTTTATTATTTTACTTTTCATATTTAGATTTATAATTTGTCACCTCAGTTTATTTCTATGGTTTGACTTAAAGAGAATTTTAGGTCACTTTCCCCACTTGATTATTTGCATGCCCTCAGGCCCGGAGTCATGGTTTTTGCTTCTTTTTCCCAACCAGCCCCAATACTGCCCACGGCATGCACCCATACAGGTATACAGTAAACGCCCAGGTGACGGGTCTAGTGTTAGGCATAGTGCATGGCACGTGGTATTTATTAGATAAATGTTTGCTGTTTTAATGGTTGCTCACGCAGTCTAAAAATTCTCTGTTAATTGTTGCAGATATCAAATAATCTAGAAGCCATCTCTATAATGTCTTCTAACGTCCGTACGGCAGAATCCTTGATTTCTGTCTCCCCCACAATCATTCCAGGTCGTTTGCTCAAGCTCCAAACCGAGAAGTCATTCTAGATTTGTCTATTGAACAGAACCTCCCCCTAGTCCTTACTAGTGGAAGGACTTGTCATCTGTGCTCTGGTGGGGTGTGTGTGTGACGTAAATCCACATCTCTGTCGCTCCTGCTAATGTCATCTTTCAGGCCATTGTCCTCTCTTGCGTCGTTACCCTCCTGACTGCTCTCCCTACTTCTTCTCCCTCTCACTGATATCTTTGCTCGATTTAACAGCAGGAGGGATCTTTTAAAATCGTAAAACAAAGAATAAACTCTCCTGGGACTCTAAGAAGCTTCCCAGCACACTTAGAAAAACATCCAAACTCCTTGCTTTAGTTGTACACGACCCACCCCTGCCCTCTCCACCTTCCTCCCTGACATCATTGTGCCCACATTTACTCTCTGCCCCCAGCATGCCACACGTGTTTCGTGCCTCGCATTCTTTGTGCTTGCTCTTCTCGCTGCCTGGAAGGTGCTTCCCCCAGAACTTCCCGTAGCTGTCTGCTCTACCTCAGGGTTCAGTTCAGAGACTGTGCTCGGTGAGGGCGTTCTGGGCCATCTCACCTCCAGAAGCACCCCCTTTCTCTTTTGCCATGTCGCTGTCCCCAGGTGAAGTGTTTACTTCTTACCTGTCTTGGCCCAGGAGACGTTAAGTTCCACGAGAGTAGGGCCCTCCTCCGTCTTGTTCACCCCTCTCTCCACTGTCTAGAACGTGCCTTACACCAAGTAGGTACCCGGTCGGCATGGATTCGAAAGAACAAGCGAGGGAGCGGTGACTGTATCACGAGGGCGCAGGCGCCGAAGCAGCAGCGGCTTCAAGAATCAGTACGTGTGGTGGGGGTGCACCTGTCAACCTTTCGCCTTCCGTTTCAGGCAAAATCACTTCAGCCTCCTGTTACGGAAAAGCAGGGCCATCCGTGGAAAGAGTCAGATCCTGTGATGGCTGGAATCGGGGAGGAGGTAAAGTTGATCCTGCAGATTTTTCCCAGCCATAGCTCTGGCAGTGAGACGGGAGCGGCTCTGAGCGCAGACCCCGCACGAGCCTTTTGTTCCGGCGTCCGGCCGTGGTGCTCCCAGGGGGCCGTGTTTGCCAGGGCGCAGGGGCAGTGTCAGTGCTGCCGTGCCGTTCGGACTGAGGGGGGGCTTCCTCTTCCGTGGCTTCTGCAGATCGCACACTTTCAGAAGGAGTTGGGAGAGCTGAAAGCCCGCACTTCCAAAGCTTGTTTCCAAGTGGGCACTTCGGAGGAGATGAAGATTCTGCGAACGGAATCCGACGACCTGCACACTTTCCTTCTGGAGATTAAAGAGACCACAGAGGTCTGTGCCTGCTGATGCACTTGTAAAAGTTGCTCTCCTAGCACTCCGTGGGTGTATGTCCTTCATTCTGTGAGGACCACTGGTGGTGGCTTTTAGAAGGACGAGTAGTTTGCCTAAGAGTGCCAAAGTTCAGATCCTACCTTCAGCACTTCGTTATGTGACTTTGGGCAAGTTAACGTAGCTATGCCAGGTTTTAGACTGAGAAAATGGAATAATAGTAGTAGTTTCTGCCCCATTGACACCTACAGAGCATTCCGGAAAGATCCGTTATGGTTGCTAGTTTAGGTATATTTGAAAATTTCCCATATTTTGTAGTAAGTTGTTGGGTTATAACAAAGAGGTTGAGGGGCATGTCTGGTATAAAGACATCAAGTGTTGGCTGTTACTAGTATTTCCCGTGTTACTATTCCTGGTTACCGTGTGCCGGCAGTGTGTTACCTTGCTGAATCCTCAAACCGCCCTGTTCGGTAGGTGCCACTTGCTCTGTCTCTCTTGCAAGTCAAGAGGCTGACGGGTAGTGAGGTGAAATAACTTGCCCAAAGCCACCCAGTTTCCACATGCCAGTCCCGGAGCGTCTGCCTCCAGGGCCCTGCCCTTGACGTGTTTCGAAAGAGGAGAGCTCTGCCGGGAGTCAGCAGTGATTATCTTCAGGGAGTAGGACTGTAGGTGCTGTCAATAGTTTTTCTCCTTCTCTGAGTTTCTGGCCAATAGACTCTGTGGGGTTTTTAATGAGGAAAAAGATTAATTTTTAAAAAGCGAGCATCGGTATTTTTCTTTCCGTGCAGTGAATTTCTTCTTTGCGTGACTGTTAACCGTTCACACCTGGGTGTCATGGTAACTGAGAACCACCACCTTCCGTGATCCAGGCAGAAAGGTCTGTTTCTTAGAAATGGCACAATTTTTTTTGTATTAAAACATCCTTGTACCTTTTCTAGTCTCTTCATGGAGATATAAGTACCCTGAAAACAACCTTACTTGAGGGCTTTGCTGGCGTTGAAGAAGCCAGAGAGCAAAATGAGAGAAATTGTGACTCTGGATATGTGCACTTGCTCTACAAGAGACCCCTGGATCCCAAGAGCGAAGCAAAGCTCCAGGTAAGAGGACCTGGCCGAGGTGAGCTTCGTAAAACCAACTCTGCCAGTCCGTCTCCTTTATGAGGTCCTGATTTGGAAGACTGCCCCCATGAAGTTGTTAACTTCCTGCGAGTCATTTACCTACTTTGCACAGATTTCCTTAGCTGTGACAAAGAAAACCGCACTTTTCCATTTAATTTTTTTAGGATGAAAACAAACAATTCTTTTTTTTTTTTTTTTTTTTT